AAATTGCCTTCCCTTCAACGAAGGGAGTGTTGCCACCTCGGCAGCGCAACTCCAAAGACTGAGAGGTTTAAAGTTTAAATGCTCCCCTCCGGAGTTGTGCTGCAGTGGCAGCACGCTCTCTCCAGAGAGGGGGGTTAAATGCCTCCCCGATCTTTTCTCCCTTCTCCAGCACTCTGAAAGTTGCTATATAAATAAATGAAAGCATTCTCCAAAATGTGCATAGTGATTTATTGGCCTTTAATTGTCCTGATTTCAGCACAAAGGTATAAAGGAAGTAGCCATGATATGCTGCCATACTGGTGATGCCCCCCTGCTGTGGCAAAGCAGTGCATTACAAAAGGTACTGTGGCTCCCCCACTAGCCCCATTGTCAATAAACCCTGGAATCCAACATAACTCTGCAGCAGCCCTCATCACTTCCTACATCAAATATCACATTTTGCATTTTTTAAAAGATACATAAAATTTAGAGGGAACTTTTCATACAGAGGATATAATGCAAAGTAAAGTGAGCTACCACTGGATCTAAATGCTGGTACTTATAAAAAAGCAACAGAACCCTATCTGGTCTACTTCATTTTCATGCACACACCCCAAAAGCTGCAAAATAAAATACTGATTGGAAGATAAAGGTGCTTCAGAACCTGGGTGACTCAACTGGCTGATTATGAGTCAGTGATTTATGATAGCTAAAATAAAGGAAGGTGAATATGCAGCTTCTCATTGTGCTTCCCCACATGATCACAGGCAGCTGCTCAAACAGGAAGCTTCTCTCTGACCAAATCATTTATAGCCATTCTTTTTCATCTTGGACCTTTTATATATCAAATATGAAGAAGCACTTGTGAAATCTCATTCTCACACAGGGTTCTCTCTCTCTCTCTCTCTCTCTCCTCCCCCCCCCCCCCCCCTCTCTCTTTTCTTGCTCTGAAGCTGCCCACATCCACTATTGGCTTCCAACCATCCATTTCTAAAAAAGAAATGCTTATGAGTTTAATGGGACTCCCACCCTTTACATAAAAATGGATCTGGGTTTAAAATAGCTAACATGGGAAGTACTTTGTCATGCCCTTTACACAAGAACCCTCCCATCTGAAACTAGTCCCCCCACACTTGTGCAGAAAGCCCTTACAGCTGTCCAGAGCTATTGGGAAATTCAACTGCTGAATCTACATCCAGGCACTGCCCATCTTACTCTTAGGATGGCATGTGTTTATCTGGTACAGGAAAGCTGATAGCCACAAATACTTCAAACAGCACTGGGTCAGACCTTCTTTATTGAAAGTTTGGGAACAAATTTGAAATTGTTTCTACACTAAGATTCCAAGATGGGTGGCCCCTTTAGAAGCCTTCACAAACCCAAGTCTTCATCAAGAAGAAACCTCTATAAGATATCTAGATCTGTTAGACACTCGGCAACAACCTAAAATAATACAAAGATATGACTGGTGGCAAAAGATGCAAATTGATACTGTAAAGATAAAACAATAGGCTTCTGTACCAATCTTTTGGAACTAGATAAGATCTTGATGTATACCGACCAGAAATTTATAAAAAAGATGTACCATCTCCTTTTAGAAAATAAAATGTGAGACAAAATTGTGAAGGGGGTTATGATAAAATGGGCATAACATTTGGGACATAACATTGATTTGAACCAATGGGCACAGATTTGGAAGAAAAATATAAAAATTACAAGAGCAATCCCATATAAGGAAAACATGTATAAGATGTTCCATAGATGGTACATTACCCCTGATATTTTGTCAAAAATTGACCCGAAATGTCCCAATAGATGTTGGAAATGCTAAAACAAAGTGGGGTCTTTCTACCATATGTGGTGGCAATGCAAAAGAACAAAGAGATACTGGGCAGGGGTACATGAAGTAATACAAAAAACCCTTAAAACCTCTGTTCCCTTTGTCCCAGAATTATTTTTGCTGGGTATTATACCTGATCAAATGTAAAAAAAATGACAACCACTTTATCTTATACGCGATCACCTCAGCTAGAATATTGTTTGCTAGATACTGGAAGAAAGCAGAAATACCATCCAGAAGCGAAATCATTAACAAAGTACTGGAAACAGCAGAGATCGACAAACTGACTATTTTTGAAAAATCAGACAGAAGACCTATTTGAAAAGACATGGTTAAGATTCTATACTTGGACTGAAAATTATGACAATATAAGCAATTAAAACTTGAGGAAACATATTTATAAAGCTGTATAACCTGTAAAAGGAATGAGATGTTATAGCGATGAGACGGTCTGATAGCAAATAAGAAGTAACGTAATTAAGGTAAAAGCATTTCCTAATGCATCGATTTAAACTCTCCCCCTGTATATACATTTACACGATTGTATGTCTTATATCGAAAATAAAGAAATATATATACATAATGGGACATTTGCTCCGTCCTGTTTCAGGACAATAAAATATCAGGAGTAAATCCCTTGTGATGCTGGGTTGGAGGAACATGCTGTATGGCTCCCTTGGCAGGGAGAGTTTGGACTTTCTCTTGAAGGAAACTGGAGGAAGGCGTTGCCACAAAATGAGGGACCTGCGATGTTAAAAGAAACTTGATGGTGTACCCTATTTGAATGATGGTAAGGACCCAGGTGTCCATGGTGATAGATTCCCAGGTATTGATGAAGGGATAGAGCCTGGTGCCCCAGGTTGGGGTACTCGATGGGGGGGTGAGGAGGACGTTGCCGTAGGGAGTCAAAGAGATTGTTTTGCAGGAGGTGTTGCCTTTTTGGAGGAGGGGGCTCTGGGCGTCTAGTGGTATGGTTGTTTGGCTGGGGGGGCCTTGTGCTTCCAGTAGTCTGACTGGTAGGGGATGAGCTAGGCTTCCAGGTCTTGAATTTGGGGGTTCGTGGTTGGGAAGACTGTGATACCCCCAAACTGCGAGCCCTTTTATGGCTGTCATCTACATTGGTGAGGGTCTCTTCCGTGGAGGCATGGAACAGGCTTCCCCCATCAAATGGTAGATCTTCCACTTTAGATTTTATGTCAGGTTGCAGGGTGGTAGAGTGTAGCCAGGCATGTCTTCTAAGGGCAATTGAAGTAGCCATGGCCTTCGATGAGCAAGATACTGCATGTTGGACAGTATTAATTTGTTGTTTTCCTAATTTGGACAATTCATTGAGTCGAGTAGTAGCAATCTTCTGGGGGGCCTCGGGTAGCTCCGCAACCAAAGTGGAAAGTTGGTTAGTCAGATGAAAGGAATAGGTCGAAAAGTAGGTCAGGTAATTGTGGATCTTTGGCTGTGGTGGTAGTAACTGAATACATCTTTCATCCCAGGGTATCTAACTTTTGGCCTTCATGATCTGGCGGTGCAGGATGTCATGCTTGTTTGAATTTAGAGGCCAAGTGTACTATAAGTAAATTTGGAGCTGGATGAGAAAAAAAAAGGAATTTCGAGTCCAATGGTTGGACTCAGTAGAGAAGGTCAAAATGCTTCGATGTCAGTGGGATAGAAGCAGGTTTGTCCCATGCCTCCTGAAGAACATCGAGGTGAACTGGGAGCATGGGGCGTAAGGATGCTGGTGGAAGGTCTGATTGTACAAGCTTGTGAACTAAATCCGTAACTGTTGGAGCGTCACTGGTGAGCTGAATGTTCAGTGTGGTAGCCATGCGAGTCACCAGTTTGAGGTAAGCCTTGGACCCCTCCGATGGTGATAAAGAGCCTGGGCAAACTATGTCTGAATCTGGGGAGGTGTGAAGGGAATCGTCTGCTTCCAAATCTGACCCCTCGGACCCAATGTCCAACAGTTCCAAAGCGGAGGCCTGAAGGCTAAGATTGTCTGGCAGTGCGGTGGATGTTGGCATTGATTGGGTGACCAGCGTGTTGATCGAGGGTCTGTGGGGGAGAGAAATGGTAGATGTTGGAGGAGCTGCAGGCAACTTTATGATAATAGGAGCATCCGATGGGCCGAACACCAGGGGTTGCTGGTCCCGAGGAAGGTGCACTAGTAGGTCTTCCAATCGGTGTGATGAATAGGGGCACGAGTACCAATCCTGATCTTGGTATGATGAGCAGGATGGAGATCTGTAACACTCCTGATAAGATCGGGGGAATGCTCCCGCAAAGAGGGAGCTCATGACTCCAATGAGTACCTTGGGTATCCCTCATAGGGAACTGCATAGGAGGCCAGAGCATAGTGGAAATGGTGTCTGCTTCAGGATCAAGATTGACTTTGAGGGAATTGGTGCCAAGGGGACCGGTGAAGTAGCTTGGCAGGTTCTGAAGGAGGTCTATCCTGACAGGCAGGGTCAACTTAGAGGAAATTCAATGGCAGGTAGTTGCAGATGGACGGCAACCTAGATAAAACATGGACCACCTGTCTGAGGGGGGCAGCCACCATGGATGGTGTCGACAACAGCATGAGTGCAGGAGTAGAGTCCTGCATGCCCATGGTTGCGGTTTCCGAAGGTTGCACCGAGGCTGGGACAGATTTCGGAACCATTGCGGGTTTCAGTACCGATCAGTCCTTCGATTTGTGCGATTTCAAGGCCAAGAGTCCTTTAAACTGTTTGTTGGTCTTACACTTCAATGCCGTTGAGGCCAAATAGGTTGCCAAATTAGCCAAATCTCCCCTCTGAGCTGTGGGAGGCGGCGAGGTTCTAGAGCTCGAGCCCTGGGACATCACTGGGTATAAGGAGGCCTCCAGGAAGTGGCTCTTCAGTCTCAAGCTCTATTCTTTTGAGCCGGTTTTGTAAAGTTGCTGCAATGGACGCAGGAATCAGGTTTGTGAGTCTCGCGCAGGCAGAAAAGGCACAGGGAATGTCCGTCAGTGGTAAGGATCTTCCCCTCGCAATTTTGACAATGTTTGAAATGAGTCTTCCCTTCCATATGCCATCAGCAAGGCCAAGGGGAAAGGGGGTGGAGACGATGACGACGAGAAACTCATGGAGAAATCCCTTCTTTTTTTTGTAGAAAAACTGTTGAAGGAGACAGAAAAAATGAAAACGACAGTGAAGATGGTGAAGAGAACGGAGAAGAAGGCCTATGAGGCAGCTCAGTAGCAGGAATTGAATGCCCCAAGGTAGGTCTGAGAAGAAACTGAGTGGGAGGGCATTTCCTTCCCTGCTCCAGACATGCACAGTCTATGTCTGCTCCCCAGAGCACGGGAAGGAAGTGCGCCAAAGCCAGAGGCTAGCTCTTGTAGTTCTCTGAAGTCGGGTTCAAGCGCAGGAACAGAACCCAGGTGTGGGACTGCACAGAGACAACAAAGAAGGTGATTCATCTTCTTGCTTTGAAAAACTGTGCCTGCTAAGCAGGAGAACAGATTAAGGTGAGCAGATCATGTCAGTTTCTCCTGGACAATTGGCATCTTTTACTGACCAACAAAGGATAACTTTGCTTAAAACAAACTAGTGATGTTCATGTGCTCACCCATACTCACTGGTCTTTTCAATATGGCACACTCTTAGAGTTTTCAAAACTCAGACTGAGCGTCAGCCTAGATGTGATATTCTGAAATGTATGAACATACACAGCTCTGCTTTTTAAAACTTCTAAATCCACCCACCATTTATAATCAATCTATGACATATAAATACAGGGATTAGCCCATTCATCCTGAATTGTTTACCCCCAGGGCCGTAGCCACCAGTTGGGGTGCACAGGGCGGTGCCTCCTTTTGAATTTGAAGTGCCCCATGGGGCGTCCCTTCACGTCCCCCAATAGGCATGCCATTTTCCCATTGGGGGTCCGCCACTATCAGGAGCAGCAGGGTGCTTGCTGGGGAGCTGGCACCTTAGAAAGCAGAAGGTGCTCCTGAGGGCAGCTGCTGCACCCGCTGGCCTCTTTGCCTCGTCCCATCATGCTCCTTCTGGTTCTGGGTGGCAGGAGCCTGGCCAGGTCTGAGTCTGGCCCTCCTCCCTGCTCTCCCTGAAAAGGCCCACCCGGCTCCCCCGGGAATCTGGTGAACCCTGGGCATGGGCAGGAGGCGAAGGCGAGCTCTCACTTCCCCCTGCCCCCTCCTCTGCTGGGTGCGGTGCATGAGGCTGGGCCTGCAAGGCTTTGCCCATGGTTGCTGTTGCACTGGCCAGCTTAGAACCAGGAGCCCCCAGCACCCACTGGCCAGCCCAGCAGGATGCCTCGGCACCTGGAACAGGGGTTCTTTGTGGCAGCAAATACCATCTGTTAATTAGCACTGGAAGGGGAAGAAGAAGATCCCCTCTACATCCTCCAAGAAATCCTCCCTCGCCATTCTGCCCTGCCTGCCCCCAGTAATTTAATTTAATTAGCCAGCTGGCTCATTCAGTTGATTTCATTTACATTTAATTTAATTTAATTAGCACCCCTGGTGACCCTCCCCCACAGGATATGTTTTTCCCATGGGAGAAACAGCAGCTCATGTAGGGTCAAGGAAACGAGCACTGGAATTAACCTCACTTTACAACATCAGATTTTCAGTAGGAATTGTCCTCTCCCTCTTGGCAGCGATTATCCTTTAGAAAAACAACAACAAAACTTGCAGATGTTTGATCCTGGTTTGATCCTGAGTGGATGCAACAGTCAATTATTTAACTGTTCCTTGCCAAACCTGCACAATACTTCTCAAATAGCAATGCTTCTTCAAATACTGTAGCATGGCAGCTGTGTAAAACTCATTTCAGTGATTACTAGAACTTCTTGGCTGCACCAAGCCTGTCTAACCCTTGCATACCCATGGAAACCTTCCTTAGCACAGTTTGTTCTGTGCTTCATGGAATTTCCCAGCTTTTGAAATAATATGAAATTAATCTTCCCCAGGAGATTTCAACATTCAGATTTTAAAAAGAATGCAGAGAACAACTTGTTTGAATAATTGAAGAACAACTTTTCCTCATTTCACATTAAAAATACACTAGCATGGAGGAACTTCCGGCGAACATTGATTAGAATGTTCACACCAGATGCTGTCTCCATGTTGTTTCAAACTAAAATAATAATAGAACTCTTGAAGGCTGAGATGGGAGGACCCAAGGGTCAACAGAATTATCTAATGAAGACTCCCCCACGCCGCTTGAATCAGAAGGAGTGGAGGCTCTGGCCAGTAAAAGGAAATACGAAGGCTCAATCTCAAAAAAACACATGGAAGAAATTTTTACAGAACTGAAACAAGAAATAAAAGAAGAAATCAAGAGTCTTATCTCTCCAATGACTACAAAAATAGACAACAACAAAAATACACTAGCCTAGCTACTACAATGTGAATTAATATTAAAGTAGAGTGAGCTAGAGTGTGGTCACACGTGCCAGATAATGTGGGGGGGAAGCGAGGCTATTTGCTCCATAGTAATTTGACCTGCCACTGCGTGATCAGACGCAGTCGCGGGTGAATCAGGTTTGTTTCCTTTGCCGCGTGTTTCCAGTGTGCTTCAACGAGGGATCACTGACGCAATAGGAGCGCGCCAGAGTGATCACACGGGGAAGTCCATCTGTGGCCCGTCGCAAACCCGGTTGATACTGCACTTTCCCTGGTATTTTTTAACTCTGCTTCTTCGGTGAAGCAAAATGGACTGGCAACGGGTGCGGGACGCTTGCCAGATGTTCCCGTGTGATCGCGCCCTTAAAATCTGCCCAGCATTTGTGCCAATCGCGTGGCTAATTCTGCATGTGATCGGGGCCCTAAATTCACTTCTCTGCCTTACTTAAAATATACAGAGATATTCCATTAGGGAAGGATCAATTCCTAGTAAAATACTGGAACAGTCATTAGAGCCAGGTTAGCCTCCTGAGCTGACATGTTATATATCTGTCTCTGCTCAGAATGAGGATTCAAATTCACTTTTAGAAAACAAATTGATTAATGGCCATGAGAAGTCGACTGCTCCCAAAAAAGCAAACATAAGTCTTTACTTTTAGGTAAATAAATTAATAAAGCATTTTACAAAATCTTTTCTTGACATGTAGAAACAAAAAGTTACTGTGTAAATCAGTTTAAATTCAAGGCTTTACTAAAGGTTTTACCCCATACACAATTCATATGGCGATTCATTTTTCTGTTTGGTATCCCTGGCTCAAGCTGAATATTTTATTAACTTTTTTTTAAAAAAAAACTTGGATTTTTTTTCATTGACAAAATAAATGTAACTAATTTGAGCATGGTAACTCATGTTTATTACTGGAGCACCTTTGGGAAGGGCAGCTCCCTCCCCTCAGATTTCAGACACTAGTCTGAGGATCACTGCTACATCTGGCTATTATGAAGTGTTTTTTAAAAAGAACAAATCTTGTGCAATAGATTGGGGTATTTTGGATTTTGTGGGGTTTTTTTTACCCAGTTAGAAGATGAGAGATTGAATTTATACCCCACCCTTCACTCGGAGTCTCAGAGGCCGAGTCTGCATCTAGCATTTGCTCTGCTGTTATACCAAACCCACACTGGAACAGAAATTCCCGTCTACATTGCAGGCCACTTTCACTTTGAGTGTCGTGAGACAAGATCTTCCCTTACAGAACCCATGTTGAGTCTGCCTCAATAGGTTTTGTTCATCTATGTGCCTACTAATTCTTTCCTTAATAATGGTTTCCACCAATTTACCCGGTATTGACGTCAGACTGACTGGCCTGTAATTTCCCGGATCTCCTCTGGAACCCTTTTTAAAGATGGGAGTGACATTAGCTACCTTCCAATCCTCAGGAATGGAGGCAGATTTTAAGGAAAGATTACATATCTTTGTCAGGAGATCTACAAGTTCACATTTGAGTTCTTTCAGAACTCTCGGATGTATGCCATCTGGGCCTGGTGATTTTTCAGTTTTTATTTATTTTTATTTCTTTCCCTTCCCCTCCCCACAGCAGACACCCTGTGAGGTAGGTGGGACTGAGAGAGCTCTTTTGAAAGCTGCTCTTTCAAGAACAGCTCTGACAGAACTATGGCTTGCCCAAGGTCATCCAGCAGGTGCAAGTGGAGGAGTGGGGAATCAAACCTGGTTCTCCCATATTAGAGTTCGCACACTTAATCACTACACCAGACTGGCAGTGCAATCACAAGGATGTGATGCTTTTGTTTACTGAAAAAAGTAATTGTAGTGATCTTTGACAGGGATGCTTTGACACAGATGAAGCTGCGTGTGTTTTAAGTGCCGTTAAGTTGCTTCTGACATGATGACCCTATGAGTTAATGGACCTCCCAAACATCCTATTGTTAACAGCCTTGTTCAGGTCCTGCAAACTGAGGGTTGTTGTTTCCTTTATTGAGTCAATCTATCTCATGTTAGGTCTTCCTGTTTTCCTGCTGCCTTCAACTTTTCCAGTGAGTCTGGTCTTCTCATAATGTGACAGAGTATGATGGCCTCAGTTTGGTCATTTTTAGCTTCTAGGGAGAGTTCAGGCTTGATTTGATCTAGAACCCTCTTATTTGTCATTTTGGTGGGTCCATAGATCCATAAAACTCAGCTCCAACTCCACATTTCAAATGAATCCGCTTTCTTCCTGTAATCTTTCTTCACTGTCCAACTTTCACACCCATACATAGTAAAAACGAGTATTACAGTATGAAATATCTTGATCTTGGTAGCTAGCAACAAACACTTTAAGGATCTTTTCTACCTCCTTCATGGCCGCCCTCCCCAGTTTCATTCTCCTTCTGATTTCTTGGTTGCAGTCTCCCTACAACCAAGAAAAGGGATAGAAAATCTTTAGCAATTTCAATTTCTTTATCGTCAATCTTAAAGCTGTATAATTCATCAGTAGTCATTACTTTTGACTACTTGATACTCAGCTGTAATTCTGTGTTGGCACTTTCTGGTTTAACCATCATCAGTAGTCATTTCAAGTCTTCACTGTTTTCTGACAGTAATGAGCTGTAATGGCCCTGACCTCGATAGCCCAGGCCACCTTGATCTTCTCAGGTCTCCGAAGCTAAGCAGGGTCAGCCCTGGATGGGAGACCACTAAGGAATACCAGGGTCGCTACACAGAGGCAGGCAATGGCAAACTACCTCTGAATGTTTCTTGCCTTGAAAACCATACAGGGTCACCATAGGTTGGCTGTGACTTGATGACAAAAAAAGTGATGTCATC